AATCAATAAAGTGGCATTTGCATTCTTAAAGTATACTAAAGGGGAATGGAACATTAATTAATTAAATATCATACAAAGGGAAATGGAAGTCATACTTAATAAGAGAGGTCAACTTTTTTTCCCCCCCTTCCAAACCTCTCCTGAGTCTACGTATACTTATGGTTTAGCTGATGATTGACACTTGTCCTTCTCTAAGATCAGATCAATTGGACCTAATTTCCGGATTATATGTTCAACCTCGAATTGTTCCCATTGGTCAATTCCATATACCACAGGCGAATCTTATTGGTTCAACCATTTCTTTTCACGTGGGCTTAGCCAATAAAAAACAGTCCTCAAGAAATTACATCCTCAAACCCCCCAAAATAATGTTTACAAAGTGGAAAACAATTTTTTTTTTTTTATTTTAAGAAAAAAAAACACAAGGAATAATTAAGATTTTTATCACTCCTCATTAAACAATTGTGGGAGCAAGTACGTAATATTTGCATATATCCTTTTTGAAACTGCGAGATTTGGAGGATTGTAGTGGGTCTAAACTCCATATATAAAGGCGCTCCAAGAACACCCTCGATTGGCTAATCCCATGCTGTTTTCACGTGCCTTTGCTCCCACATGTTTGGCAAAGCTATAGAAAATTACACAAATATAATATAATGTGTGTGTGTATATATATATATAGACAAAATTTATCATTTCAAAAAAAAAAATTAGGGTGTTAGAGATCGAGAACAGATTGAGTCCCATGATTTAATTTTACCCTTTTGGGCAAAACATTCAAAAAGGGAATGTGACCATTTCATAAATATTCACAAATTAAAAGTGTGATTCCATAATGAGAGTAAGGTATTCTAAACTTCCGTTTGAAAATAATAATAATAATAATAAAAGTGCCTTAGACTTATATTTTTGTGCTCTACTCTCTCTCTCTCTTTTTGGAATAACCCTACACATGCAAATTCTTATAAAATTTATCATAGATGTAATCACAAAACGAATACGTGTATATGTTATATCGAAATTGAACTAGTCCAAAAATAGTAAGGAACTAACCGAATATTTTTCAGCTGAAATCCATATAGAAGCGAGCACGATTTGCGAGGTAAATTATTATACGTAATTCCGCTTGGTTTTTTTTTTTTCCATGAAAACTTGGAATTATTTATTGCTTATTTATTATTTCTTGGTAACAATATAGTTAGTCTTTTGAATTCTTTTTTAAAAAAAAAAAAAAAGGTTCGTCTTATTAAACCTCCAAATATGATCATGATGCATGAGCAAAACTTTATTCTTTTTCAAATAAGGGGGACATCCAGATATGGTTCAACTTCAAGGGCACAACTAGCTAAAAAATAATTTTTAACGGAGGCATTGATAGTCCATTATTTATGCTCATTGATCTTTTTTTTTTTCATCTTTTTATCCCCAAAAGAACAGAAATAAACATTTTTAATTAGCTTAGTATTTGAATGAAAAAGGGAACAAAAAAGAAAGGGCAACAACGTTTATGTGGATTCTTTTACTATTATCATTATTATTATTATTATTATTATTATTATTAATTTTATTATGTATAATTATTGTTCGATTAATTTTAAACTAATGCGTGCTAACCTAGATTAGACAATTGAACATATTTAATTAAAAAAAATGATATCATGATGTGGGTTGCCTTCCTCTTTTTCTAAATTTGTTTAATCTGTTTTCTGATTATTATAATCGTGATCCAGCGCAATTTCCGTTGTCTTTCACTCACGCATCTAACCATATCAAACTGTTGACTATTTGCGTGTAGTGGTAAACCGCAAATTAAAATAGTAAGAAAAATGTTCTTATAATGATATTACATCATATACGGTGTGTGTATGTATTTATTTTTACTAAGCACTAGGTCATTTAATTCTATACATGTGCTTGTCAACGTTACTTGTTGGCATAATCAAAAGGGGAGAGGTTAATAGTACTTGATCTAAATAATGTAAGGAACGAGCTGATATAACAAGAACTAAATGAGCACCTAGAGTGATAATATAGTTCCCCAAACAGTTATATATGTAGTCATGTTTGGTGGGAATTTTGTGAATAGGAATGGTGCTTTATATAATCTATTTCTTAATCTAGCCACCAAGAAATCTTAAACTCAACTTCTAACGCGTCCTTGAATGTTATTTTTTTCCTTAAAAAGTAGTTTTTAAAAGAAAGAGATTAGGAGACAAAACTACAAGCTTAACTTTTAAATCCATAAGAAGAAACAGTATTGTCATAGACAATTTTCTTTCTTAAATTTTATGCTCAAGAGGAATCAAAATTTCAGTTCCAAGTACTGCCACCAGTCCTCTTATTCCTCAATACAAGATCATCTGTAAACTTAGTAGATCTTTCATTCCAACCATATATGTAGAAGGTATATACAATGTTACTTAAAAGGAGTGATTTATTTCTTGTCCTTTTATATTGTTCATTCATATCACTTTGGATTTAAGTCATCATTCTTCCCATGTTTGTCTTTTCCATTTCTTATAAAGGTTATTTTTCTCTATGAAGTAATAAAGCAATAATAAAGTATGACATGAAAATATCAAAACTCATTATGATTATAAATTAAACATTATTATTGCTCTTGATGAGTTGGTAAGCTGATTAAAACAGCTCACCGGTCAGTTTGTCGTGACACGAAACTCATGTAACTATAACAATTCATACATTTTTGTGTGTGAATAAACTCCCGTTGCACCTGATAATCACAACTTATATACCGATTCTCGATAAAATCAACATAACCCTTTTAAATGTTGAATATTATATTGTTAATTACTCTTATTTGAGGACCATTGTTTAAACTGAATGTTTAATTTTCATTTCATAATGACAATCTTATTAATATTAAAACAAGAATCTTATGGACTAATTTTCTCCCTCCCCCAAGATGGAAGTGAATTTCACCCTTAGATATAACATCAACATTCCTAATTAGAATTACCTTCTTCCTTTATATTACCAAGTTACCAACTAGTAAAAATAAATAAATAAATAAATTGTTCTATTTTGGTTAAAAAGAAAAGAATACACACTTATACACAAGACAATAGGGAAATTGTGCCAACTTTGGAACTTGTTCTATAAAGAGAAGGGACAAAGTTGTTTAAGGCAAGAGATCATGTGCTTCTTACCAAAAATAAAAATGGATTATAGATACTCTGCCAACATCAATGAAGTCATGGATGGTGAGATATTTGCGGGCACGCTCATCAATTTCCAAATTTGGTAACCTTAAATTGCAAAAAGCAGAATTTCTCTACTTTTAGCTTCACACTTTTGGATCGCCGCACTTATTCCGACACGTGTCCCACTTCTCTTGAAGTGGTGCCGGTCCCCAGTTGGTAAAGATTTTCTAGGTTCCCGTGATCCTCGTGCTGTTCTCCTCAGGTGAAGTACCGAATATGCCCTTGACTTTTCATAAAACGACAAGAATGTTTTCTATCAATTATTGGAATAATTTTTTTTTAATTTTTTTTTTTTTTTTTTTTTTTTTTTTTTTTTTTTTTTTTTATGTTTTGGGTTGGGATTAAGGAGAGGGGAAACATAAGACAGCAGAATCGAAGGCCAATCATACTCCATCATCGCCTTCTTATGAATAGGCTAATGTTTTGATTTGACTTCACTGCTAAAGTCATTTGGCAATTTTCACCAAAAAAGAAAAGTCACTTAGCATTAATCTTTCCATTTTCGCGTATGATATAGTAATTAATGCTTAGCCAAAGAAAAAGACTTTTTGGATAGAAGCCAAACAGAAAGACTTATAAGCATTAATAGTCATCTAACTTAAGGATTTCACTAACCTCAATAATTAATGTGATTGACTCACATTGACTCCAGTTAAAATTTGTGTCATAAGTTAATTGATTTAATGGAAAAAAATTATTATATGCTAATTAAAGTTTAAATCGGGCGTCTACTGATAAAAAAAAAAAGAAAGTCAGGAGTGCAACAATTTCTGTTATTTAGGCACTATAGAAACATGTTTCTTATCATTAATAAGCAAGTGGGTGTAGAATAATCAATATCATCATTGTCCTGTTTTTTTTTTTTTTCTTTCCTTCTTTCTTCTTTTGGAAGCATATTATCTTGTCTTAAACCAAGAATACCTCTACCTTTCAGGAAAAGGCAAAAAAAAAAAAAAAAAAAAAAAACGCCCACATTAGCAAATATTACCTTATAGTTTGTGAACCCACTTGTTGCCATTATTGGACAAGCAGCTTACACTTTTTACATTAGCCATTAATTAGTGAGTCCTTAAAGTAAACAACTTGCACTAATTAATCCCTAGTGTTGGATTATTTGCACTAATTATGAGCCTGTTTAGTTCGCTGATTCGAGTTTTTAATTCGAGTTAAGATGTAATTTTATGTGAAAGCTTTTTACTGTAGTAAAAAAATTAGATATGATTATTTATGAAAACTTTTTACTATAACAAAACTCGAATTAGCGAAATAAACAGAGCCTATAATTATACAAATTCCCCGTTATTCATCATCAAGAGGTCAAACCCAGGTTTTTTTTTTCTTGAAAACGACAGCGCACTGTCACTTTAGCATAACTCATCATCCCTACCCCCGAGGGGACACAATTGCCATTTCAAAAATACGATGTTAAAAAAGTGTAGATAAATAATTATTTAATAAAACTTTGCCTCCCAAGTTATTTGAAAAACAAAATACATTACCAAAAATGGGAACTACGGTCTACGTATTCGTAGACCCACGCGTCAACGATCTATACGGCGGACGGCGCTACGACCCAAAAACGCAAATTAAGAATTCGAATTCTCATTGCTCCTAATTGGTCCACGTGTCAAAAATGCAGAAAACCACTAGTGGTTTTGTACACCAAGAAAAAAGCGGTTTTTCCTTCACCAGCTACGCTTTCCTTATATAGTCTTTCTTTCATCTGCTGATGTGATTCATCATCTGTACGGCAAAAAAAAAAAAAAAACAAAACAAGTTTTGTTTGCTCGTTTCAAACTTCAACCTCGATTATTTGTCTCCATTTGTTGGGAAAAAAGCTTTTCTCCAAGTAAGTTGTCTCTTTTATTTCTACTTTATTTTCTCTTCTTTGGGATTCATTTATTTATTTATTTTTCCTTTTTTCTGTTGGATTCCGTCACTTTCCCGGGAAATTATTTCTCCCTGGCTTCGGATGCTAATTATTTTCTACTAGACTAGCTTAATTAAGATCGGAAGAAGTGAAAGAAAAAAAAAGGGAATTAAAAGCTAGTAATTTGTTGAGTACTTGTTCGATTCAGTTGACGATTTTTTTTTTTTTTGGTTGTTGAAAATGTGTTAATTATAGGTTTAATTAGTATGGGGAGAGGTAAGATTGTGATAAGGAGGATCGACAATTCGACGAGCAGGCAAGTGACGTTCTCGAAGCGGCGGAACGGATTGTTGAAGAAGGCGAAGGAGCTGGCAATCCTCTGCGATGCCGAGGTCGGAGTTATGATATTCTCCAGCACCGGCAAGCTCTATGATTTTTCAAGCACCAGGTCATCTTGATCTTATATTAATAACTTATTACATACGATGATCTTAGTTCAATTATATTTGCACTACTAGCTAGATAGTTCAGTACTAATTAATTCTTGTCATACTTATAATTTAATCTCCATGATATATATTAGGATATGATGCTAGCATATATATATATATATATATATATATATCTTCGTCGATGGTATATAAGCTCAAGATCTGTGTATATATTAGTTGTGTGAAATTCATTTTGTGAGATCATGATTTAATTAATTCTTAAGAAATAATAAATGTCAAGTCATAAATAGCTTGGAGAAGTTTTATTTTTATTTTTATTTCGGTATGAAGCATGAATATAGAACTCATGCGTTTTTTTTTTTTTTTTTTTTCTGTGCTTAATTTTGAAATGTTTTCATGAATGGTCTTCAGCTAATTATTTAATTTAAATTTCATAAATAACGATATGGGGTGGCCTTGGGGCTTTCCATATATGCCAAATATTATCAATAGTGCTTCAACTTTCTTCTGACTAGAACGAGTAGGAATATTTATACTTCTTCTGTATCTACGTATATACGTACATAGAAAAGTACATATATATCTGTATGTATGTAAACTTCAACAAATTCAATCTCCAAGGATGCAAAGTATACACTAGGTGAGCTTACCGCAATAAAGAACGTACATAGATCATAGGGAGAATGTATGCAGATTTGTAGTGCTATATTAGTGCGGAGAAGCTGGTTAATTAGAGCACCAATAATTACTTAGGAACAATAACAGACCTTGGTAAATAATAGTCAGGTTAGAGTTACAAACGAACTTCTAGCCATTTTTAAAGCCTAAATGCAAGTTGGCATTTCTAAGTACTTGATGTTCAAAAACTTTGAAAAATCTCATCCATATGAGTTACATGATGTTCAAAACTCATCCATATACATATATATATAGGTGGAAGAGTTGTAGTGTTTTTGCTACAATTGGGGTGTTAACACTCATGTTGTAATTCTCATCTTTTGTTGCCTTGGAGACAATGCTTTTTACTAATTAATTAATTGACCAAAAGTGCCAAAATGTATTTAGATATTGTCTGTTTTTTGGTCTCTAGTACTGGTTAGTATTGATTGCATTATAATTTTGTGTGATAGTATTTGCCAAGTTTTCCTCAAACTATAGTTGAGATCGGCATTGTGGATACTTGAGGTAGCCTTGAGCTTCATTATAATCTTATGCGCAGTTACTACTGATCATTAAGGGCAAAACGCACAATTAGTACTTTCGGCTTCACATTATATTTCTTCTGAAAGGATGTCTCTATATATCCATAGGCAATTCCTTTTAAACTTCCTATTAAGAAAAGTTGTTGCGTACAGTAAAGGATTGTGTCAAGCTAATATGTGTCCAAAATGTTCGTAAGATACACAAAAACATCCAAAAAGAAAAAGAAATCAAAACCAAAAATAAAAAACAAAACGAAACGAAAACAAAAACAAAACAAATCAAATCCTAAACAAAAACCAAGAATAAAAAAGCGCAAAACTTAAATAGGGTATTATCAAACTCATCACAACTCAATCAAATTAGATAAGATACCATTGATCGAGTGTACTGGTCTTGGGATAATGTAGTATTCTGGTCATGGGCTTATGGTTATAGGTTATAGGTCCTTTAGGGGCATTAAATATGAAGACTTGTTTGTTACCAACTTAGTTCTCGATTTAGTATGTTGGGATCACACTCTATGCAGTCTTATCATTAGCATATTTAGTAGTATTGGGGTAACGCATTTCTCGTCCAAAGGGTAGGACCCCCTTGTCAGACTTCAAGCGAGCATTCCCATCAGCGTTTGATTCATGTATTAGCCACAGACTCATATTGAATCAAAATATACAACATTATGTTGTCATGAAATATCCACATACAAAGTATAATTCATTATGTATAATATCAAAAGTTACATATGTTGTAATATGCCTAATAAAGAAAAGATAATATGTATTAGACGGTCTTGCATAATTTAATTTATACAATAGTTCAAACCTTTCAACTTTATTACTCATATACATAATTACATATCTACATTTGTCTTCTTCTCTCTCCTCCGCCGCCCCCTTCTGTTTGTTGCCTTTATCTCTCCTCCTTTCTCTATATGTTGATCTCTCTTTCTTTTCTATTTAGCTACTAAATCCTCTCGTAATATCCTCGTTCTTTATTTGCATTATATCCTAATTATCTCATTGATAAATCACTTATTTTTCTTCTTTTTTAAAGATAGAAAAATGCAATCTACCAATTAATGACCACCAAAAACAGAATAAGTTATAAGAAAAATTATGAAATCTTTCTTTGAATTCAAGTGAAATTCAATGCTTAATTTCTTGCAGTCCTAAGAATTACAAACTTAATCTTTCAAATTGTAAATTAATTTCGTATAAATTTCATCCCCGATGTCAGATTCGATCCAAAATTGGACATGAAAAGTGCCTTCAAATAAGATTAGGGATAGTTATGTAAGGAAACAAATTAGTAAATGTAAACCTAAAATTTTGTGTAATTATTTTGTATTAGATCATCTCCATTAGCAATACTAAATTAGTATGCCAAATGTCAAGTTTTAGTATTTGAGTAGGAAAATCATTATCCAATGGGATGCTATTTTTTGTGCTAAATTTGATATATGTAATACTCGGTAGCAAATTTGACATTTAGTATAGCATATTGCCTAATTTTGACATTTAATTGATGGTTGATATGTTTAAATTTTTATCTAATCATTACAACATAGACACTTTCAAATTAAATTTAAAAGTTTATTTTTACAACTTTCAAAACTTAAATATTATGACAAAAGGTTGATTTACCTTTTAAAATATCATTATGCATTAGAGCATAAATAAAAATAACATATCAAAAATATCATTTTCATACTTTTTGGTGCCGAATTATATGACGTTGGCATTATAATTTACATTGGAGATGGTCTTGAATAAGCTAAAAGATGTTAGAAGGGAAATTTTTGTAATTCCAAGGATGTGATATAAAATATTAATTTTACTTGAATCCAAGAAAGGATTTTGTAACTTTCTGTAATTTGATTTTTGAATTCTAAGTACAAGATAGATCAAAACATGGTACCGTAGAGATAGGTATACGATAAAATGCATCATTATATAACGTAAGGGCAGTTACGAAAGTATTCCTGGCATTTTAATTGTTTTAAAAAAACTATAATTTTTTTTTGTTTTTTAGGTAAGCAACTATTCATTTCTGAATATTACAACTCATGAACATCCTTTAGATTTGAGGTAAATATTATAGTGTTATGATCCAAAGAACCTGGTTTGACCGAAATTGTGTGGTAAAAAAACTAAGCGCTTACTAAATTAAACGTGTACATTTAATTTTTTCTAATTAGAAGACTAATTATGATGAAAATGTCCTTACATAAGCCATACTCAAAAAAGGGTCGGTTGATGCTCATAAGACTTTAATTTTGTGTTTTTTTTTTCAATTTCAAATATGCTCGAACTATAACTTGTTAATTCTACTACAAATGATGTAATACCACACCGTTATCAAAACAGTACGTTATGATTTAGAATTATTATCATTATACGTGTATTTTTTATGAAAAAAAAATATTATAAAAAATTATAAATTATGATTCAGAATCAGTGACGAATATAAAAAATAAACATAATGTAAATAAATCTGTTAGGTTCTAGGAAAGGTGTGCGATAATGTTGATCGATTAGACAGTGATTTGACGTTTGACGTTTTAATTTGACCCAAAACTTTTTCTTTTTGCTTAAAAATTTTAGTTGATTAACCTTGTAAATAAAGTCTTAGAAGATGTTTGGTAGAGGGATTCGTTCCATGATTCGAATCATGATTCGTGGTTCGTTACAGTATTTTCTCTCATAAAAAATACACGTAAATAAAAAATGATTCGAATCACATAGTTTGAATCCTCCAACCAAACGTGATCTTAATTATCTGAATTTTAGATTTAATAAAATTTTCCTTTCTACTAGTTTGGTTTTATCGAAACCTTTGTGGTTCCTTGTGAATCTCCTTTTATTTTTAGTAATTTGTTTAGAAAAATCTAGAAAGAATTTAGTTTGGGGGGCGCGCTCTGAATGGCCAATTGAATTACATACACATGACAAGTACGAAAAGATTAGCAAGCAATCGATAATGTTGATTGATTAGACAGTGATTTGACGTTTTAATTTGACCCAAAACTTTTTCTTTTTGCTTAAAAATTTTAGTTAATTAACCTCGTAAATAATGTCTTATAAGACGTTTAATTCATGAATTAGAATCATGTGATTAAAATTATTTTTAATTTACGTATATTTTTTGTGAAAAATAATACTGTAACGAATCATATGGTTTAAATCCTTCAACCAAACATCCTCTTAATTATCTGAATTTTAGATTTAATAAAATTTTCTTTTCTACTAGTTTGGTTTTATCGAAACCTTTGTGGTTCCTTTTGAATCTCCTTTTATTTTTAGTAATTTGTTTAGAAAAATCTAGAAAGAATTTAGTTCCCAAATAAGGTAATTAACTAAACAAATTAAGATGCACATGAATTCTTTTCCAAAGGAGAATAATGAGAATCTTCCTTAAATCACATAAATGTGTAAGATTTGAAGAGGAAACAAGTTTTTAATTAAAACGTTATGCTAGTAAATTTTCTAAAACTCATTCTTTTCATTGTTTTTTTGCTAAAGAGATATTTTTAGTAGATAAATTAACCCAAATATTACTACAAGCATGAAAGGAATGTTTTTCAAAGTGCTGAAAATAACTTACTACTGCCTTTTACAGCCAAAAAAGTGGAAGTGAAATAATAATACCTTCTTTACTTGTGTCACCCGCCAGTACTTTCAAGTCCACGTACATGCATGCGTACATGCATGCTGCTTAGGAGAGTTATGTACGTTAAAAATATGCGTAGGGCAACAGAAACTAATGACTATGCCCTTGAATTCTGTATATATACAAATATGTATTATATGTATATATATATGCTCTAAAAAGTTGAAATTAAACTTCAAACTTTATACAAAACAAGAAAAAAAGTTTCCCCCAAAAAAAAAAAAGCACTTCGGACCACCGTAACATCTTCTTCCTTAGATGCAGCGGCCGAAAGATTCCTCAAAGCAGCCCTCAGCAGCCCCAACCTCCGAGCATCCCACTTCTAAACCAATAAGAAAACTGAACAAAGGAATTCCAAAAGTTTATGGCCAAGACAAAATTCTTCGAACACATCCTTCTCATAAAAATTGAAAGATTAGTGGAATATACAAACTATCTTTCGTGTCTTTTTTCTTTCTTTCTTTTTATATAACCATCAACCATGTGAAGAGACTGGTATTATTTGTTAAAGACTGGTATTATTTGTTAAATATGTGGAGGCTAAGGGTGCATTTGTTTAAAGGGTTATACATGGTTCAAAGTATAGTTTTTTGTTCTGCTACAATGTTTTCCTCTCACAAAAAATTTAAATTTCAAACGTCAGAATCATGAACCATGGTTTGAACTCATAAACTAAATGTACCCTAATTGTTTCCCTGAACCAGAAGCAATACATGGAGTAACAGTTATACCAAGAAATTTCCTCAAGTTCAAAGCAACATCATGTGAGGGCCACCTCCAAACTTAAGCCTGAATTGAGCCCATAACCTTAAGCTCAGTACCCTTAGCTCAATACCTTGAGCTTGATACCTTAAGCTCAATACCTTAAGTTCGGTACCTTGAGTTCAGTCCTCTGAGACAAGTGCATTGGGGTAAGCCAATTTAAAATGAGTCCAACCTTCCGCCTCAGTTTATCACATGAAATTTGAGAGGAACCGCTACACTAATTATCCCACGATGTGTGGATCATGATATGCTTAAAGAACCGTCGCACCTCGCGTGGATGGGAAAGAGAGAGGTCACATCCGAAGGAGAGCAAGAGACGCGGAAATGGTAAACATGAGGGAGGACGGTTACACCCAAGACCAACGGTTACTCGGGGAAAAGGCTCTATAAATAAGATGAGAGAGTTCGAAGGAGGGGTTCTGAATATTTTCTAATCAGAGTATTATTCCTTAAAACTTGTACCTCGAGTCTTGAGAGCATTTGAGGGTGTACCAAGAAGTTCATAAATAAATTCGTACCTTTCGTCTTTATTTTCTGAACGCAATTTTCTCTTATTGTTTTGATCCGTTTAAACCAACTTTCATACTTGGAATTTGGGTTCTTGGTTGTTAGCAAAAGTCTACCGTCCACAGTAACCTTCACAATAAGGTCGTCGTGTTGGTTGGAAAGGAGGCCGAACCCCCGAACCAAACGTTCATTAAGAGTACAACTTTGAGGTTTTCACATTTATAAGTCTCTTGTCACCCTAGCTAGTTTTCTTCATATTGAGGGGGCGCAGTTTTTAGGGTTAATAGAAGGGTTGGAGAAATGCACAACTGAGTTTGAGAGGTGTGTGATCTCTTTTGTAATCTTCTTTTTAATCATAGCTAGTTATTACAAGATTGAAAGTGGACGTAACTTTCAGGTGAACCATAAACACTGTTTGTTCTTATTTCTTAGTTTTATTTTATTTTTTCGATTCTATTGCTCTTGATGATAAAGAATTAGGGCGACAAATTCTTATTCTTTAACCCCAATGAGATTAAAAGCCTATTAATTACTCTCTTTAATAATTGTCAAGTTTCTGTGCCGCGTTTTTTTTAGCACATTAAACGACGTCTTTTATATAGCTGCTTAACAGAACAAAGCCTATTTAACGACGTTTTATAAATTTTAAAGCCTTTTCGATCGTTTGGCACATGAGTTTTTTTTCCCTATTTAATGGCATTATATTATTTGTATAGTTTCTCTCAAAAATTTCAAACTAATAAAAAATATATTAACGTTTTGTCCCTACAAACCGACCAAATCAATCATGCAAACTCTTAGAATTTTTAAAGGGAAATTTTCAATATTTTTGTCATCAATTTTAAATTTATCATTTATGTCATTAATATTTTGGCAAAATATCTTTCATATTCTGCCAGAATATTTTTTGCTGACAATATATTTTTTATATTCTACTAGAATACGATTCATATTCTACCAAAATATTTTTTATTGACATAAATAATAGGATGATAGAAAACACTAGTTATTCTTGTAATTTTCTCATTTTTAAATGAAATCTAGATAGGTCAATAAGGTGCATGCAAGTGCATGGGATCCATTGGTGCTTTCCTAGAGATGATTAAGACATAGCCTTTCATATACAATCCTTGGCTCAAAATAGTGGTAAAAAGTTAGGGCAATCCTCACCATATCCGTTATTGGTACTGCATGTTTATAAAGTGATTTTTTCATAAAAATTAAGATTATTATCACCGATGCTCTTTGAACTTTAGAATCATTGCCAGTTTACTCCTTGAACTTTAAAAACCCTCACTTGATCACTTGAATTTTGAATTGTTCCCACTTAAACCCTTCTGTTGAAATTTCTGTTAAAAACAGATAAAAAAAAAAGAAAATAATATAGTCATATGGTCTTTCTGTGTGAATATATGTTAAAAGTAAACGGATAAAAACCACATGACCACACTTAACCTTAATTTTTGCCGACTTGATTTTAACAAGAAGTCTTACAAAAGGCTTAAATGGGAATAGTCAAAAATTCAGTGGGCAAAGTGAAAGTTATCAAAGTTTAAAGAGAAAACGTTGAATAACTCCAAAGTTCAAGGGACACTAATGATAATAATCCAAAAAACTATGTCCAATTTTTATAATGTTTGATTTTTTTTTTACTTTTTATGCTGATAATATTTGATTTTTATGTATTTTGACTTAATCTAACATTTAAGGATAGACCCAGCTCTAACCTCAAGGGTTAGGCTCATACGTGCCTAGGTATATAAATAAAGCTAACCTCAACTATATGGCATAGAAGTGTTTTTAAGAGCCTTGACCTCTGTAAAATGTATGAGATGAATCATAAGCATGAGTATCTGAGTATGAAATTTTGTGTCAAAACTTGAAAACGTCTACGTTGCATACTTCTTCTATATCCTCAAATACGAATTTAACAAAACCTTGAAAAATAGGATACTTAACAACGAGATATATCAAAATACTGGGGTAAAATATGAAAAACTCATGCGACATTCATTGTGACGAACCAATAAAACTGTTTAGCTGAAAAGAAAACAATGTGTCTAAGTAGCAGGCTTCCTTTTCATGTATAAACAATTAAGGTGATTAAAAAAAAAAAAGGAGAGAGAAAAGCTAATGTATGTGCAAGTGTGTATTCTTTCTTGTGTACTTGAGATAACGTTACGATGCATGTAAATAGTTGCTAGCATTACGCCTTGCTTCTATCTGAGCTTTTGCATTACATATGTAGATTGAACTCGCCTGACAAAACTAATAAGCAGCAATGTAAGACTGAGTTCAGCTTACTTTTCACCTCCAAAAATAATATAAAAGCCTAAGTTTGGATCAATCCCTGAACTCTGGTCACAAGAGGAAAGAAAAGTACCTTTCTGTTTTCTCAAAAAGATGAGTCTTAACAAAAGGATAATTTATTGTAGGCGCGAGGGAAGAAATAAGAGAATGATAGGCCATTGTGGGGTTCAGTCATTCCAGGGATTGAACGACTGTCATGTATGCTATTTAGGATGAACATGCATAATACAAACCTGAAAGGAGTTCATGGTTTTGCAAATTGCAAAGAGTACAATAGGGACTTATAACCTGTCAGTCAGGGTATATTAGAAAAGATTAATGACAACTTGATCATACTTAAGTGTTATTCCCTTTTCGGTTTTCTCCATGACTTAGCAATGACAATGTCAACATAGTTACCTACTGTATTCTATTAGTTGAGGTTTTCACTTGAAAATGATGATACAAATGAATTATCATAGTGCCTACTTTATCTGTTAGCTGATGAATTCACTCGACTCCATACGTGTTTTTTCCTAATGCTATGCCATTGGTGTTGAGCAACACAGTGATGAAAATTGATCACTGTTCTTGTTCACTCTGATGAATACTTGCAACTAGGTGAAACGTTTCTCTTATATTTCAGTCCTCTATGTTGAACTAGTAGCTTTGCTATGACTGGACAGCCTGAAGGACCAGTGAGAAATGAAGCCTCATTATGGTCAATGACAAAACCTGGACATTTGTTTAATCAAGACTAATATTCAAAATGTATCAAAAACCTAAAATAAAATATAAAAATATAAAAATTAAGAAAGAAACAGAACGAGTTCAGAGTAATCACAAAAATCAGGGTAATAGAAGTAAAGATGGAAGCAAGAGTATACCTATGTTTCTGCAATTCTGGTTAAATCCTCGTGCATGGTTCTTTAAGATAGAAAACCTCGCAGACAAACTAATTCAGTCGTTCCTTTAGAGAGGCTATAGAGCTAAAGATGTGAGAGATAGCAAGCATGAAAAATTCACAGAACAAAAATTAATAGGATATATCAAATTATCAATTTTCTTCTGATGCGTGTTTCCACATTGAGATTCTTGAAAATATGCCATGGAATTTATTTTCTGCAAGTTTACAAATAAAAGTACGCCTCTAGGATCTGATAACTGTTCTATCTTTGGCAGCATGAAGGCGGTAATTGACCGGTACAACAAAGCAAAAGAGGATCATCAGCAACTCTCTAATCCAACCTCTGAAGTTAAGGTAATCTATAGTTCCTCCCCTTTTTTTTCTCAAGACATACTTGAGATATTGGCTCTCTTTGAAGTGCACAATCGTATTTTTGGCATAGAGAATTGGTATAACGAATCAACATGCCCAAAGTTGCTCCTTTTTTTTTTCGGCTGGTGGGTGTGGGGGGTTTATTTGTTAGATGAAGTTTTAGTCTCACTCTTCCTGTAGATAATGTAAGTTATGTAAAACAATAGCAGCAACAAGAATCCAGAACTTTTTTTCCCATATTCTGAGTATAATGCCAGAATACATTCCATCTAGAAATCCTCTAAAATTTGCTTCGAGAAACCACATACCTGTCCTGCATAACATCTCCAGAACTCGAAACACGCTTATGCTGTTATGCATCGAACCGAAGACTGGCTAGAAAAACTATCTAAGATGTGCTTCATTTATATCAAAGTATAACAGGATAACAGAAAATATCGCAACATCAGCTATTATTCAAACGAATAGTCAACTTATTAATTTACAACAGGATGTATAGGAAATTCTTGTGTTAATTTAAACTTCCAGTTTTCTTCATTCTTTCATGCAAATTTCTTTCTTATTTCACAGAATATCAGACAGATAATATAACATTCCGAGAAAGCTTCTAATTACCTGTTACATACAAATAGTTATCTAAATCTTACTTCATAGACGATAAATATCCCGAGCTAAATGACAATTCAGAGTTGGTTCATAACGATAATCTTTGATTACAAAAACGTTAACATACATCTTGTTGCGGATGTGATATTTATATCAATTACGAGAATAGGTATATAAATCATAGGTTTTGCAACATTCCATCAAGATGGTATGGCTTGTTCAATATGAGGTAGAGAACAATTCAGGACTCGTTCCTCCCGTTTTTTTGGACAACATTAAGAAAATAAGAAAAAATGAGGATAATAAAGATAATTAGCACGTAGATTTTTCAAAGTTTCTGAAGCCTTGCTTAGATATAAAGCCATCTGAACTAGCCAAAACTACCAACCTAAAGACCTTCAGTCTGCAATTACCGAAGGGAAAGATGAAGCTAGCTCCGCTGCAAATTTCAAAATATAACCAAGAAAAGATAGTTCATTTGTCTTGACAGATCAATGCAACAGCATTGCTTTTTTTGGCATTAGTTATAAGTGAAATATTAGCTGGCTAAAAAAGCAGTAGAATATCTCTTTCTCAAAGCTGCCTCATTTTGCAAAGGAATTCCCAGCAACTGAAGTCCCACTTGAAGAAAATGAGGAGACAACAGTTGTTTTAGTGGTGGAAGCATGGATATCTACACCACATCCGAAAAAGTGATGGCAAAACCTTAGCACAAGGGCTCAACCAAAAAAAAAAAAACATTAGCACAAGGGTATTTCTATTCTTTTTCAAAATTTCCTTCCCCTTTAAGCAACAAAAATAGGATATGACATCCGCAAGAAATTGAGTAGTAATGAGAACACCAAGGTTGAACAAAGTGAGCCTGTGGTGGGAAGGTGAGCTGTGGTGTGGGCGGGAGGCATTTGAGAGTTGGTTTGTACAACAAGAAAAAGCGGAAGGATGGACACTATTTAGCCGTTTTACCTTGAACACTGCAGACTTAGTAATAGCCCTTATAGGATTGATCCAGATTTTTTTTTGTTGTCTTTTTATTGGAGTAGGTAACATGAACATGTAGAGAAGAAGAACTGTCGTATGGAATTGGTATTGAAAAGAGACTGAAGCAGCAGGTAGTGGTGCAGGGCGATAGAGAGCATAATGGCGGCAATCATCAAGGGCACAGGGGTGCAATTTTTTTCTGCCCCTGAAGGAGCCATTTGGGTGTTACTCACGTGAGCGATAGAGCTTTGATATTAAAAATTAAATAAGAAATAAAAAAGGAAGAGAACACAAATATTTAACGTGGTTTGGCAATGTGTCTACATCCACAGGCTAGAAGAGACAAAATTCACTAGTAAGGAGTATTATCACTTGCCTCCATATAAATATAAATTACAATTATAGAATCATTTAAATTACCCAAAACTATCAAATCTCTTAAAATAAAGAGATCTCCTAACTTGAAAATAAGTACAAAACTACTAGTAAAGGTAACTACGTACAAAAGATTAACTTTCCTTGATATGTCTATCTTTTTAAAAATAACCATTGCTTTTGTAGTTTTTTCGTTTTCAAAGAAATGATTGAGTATCCCGTGAAAGTACATTTACCAAAAGAACACAAGTACAACCTCCAAAGCTAGTTTTATAAATATTTTTTTTTATTGAAAACTTGAAATCTACTTTGAATGTTTCAAGGATAAACATATTTTAGAAAACTAGTAAATTGTTTATGACTTGAAGAATTCAAGGCACATGAAGTGCAACTTTAATTATTCTGTCATATCTAAGTTTTACCTTTACATAAGTAGTTAGTGTCTTTAATCACAACACACCTTTCAATCCGTTACTTGTCTCAAGCAAGAATCTTTTTCTATTGGAATTGGCACTGTATCAACGGAATATCATCATCCATCATAACAAATTGGTGTGGTACCGTATATTCATATCATAACATATGAACAGTAAGATCTTGATTGTTTTGTTGCTCTTATGCTAAATCGCTGCAATAAAAGCATAATCTTATAACTACAATCCTTCTATTGATAGAAATCAAGCAACACCCATCACCAACTGATGTGGCTGCTACTTTGTAGCCTATTGAAATTTTAAGAACACATGTATGCACATGAAAATGCTGGCTAAATGGCTCTATATGAAGCAACAACTAGTGCATACGGCATTCTTCCCGATAGCATAATGTTGCCCATTGCCTACTTTTACATACTATTCAAATGAGCAGTCTCTGCTATGTAACTGCAACATTTCATTTAGCAATTCTACAAACATAGCAGACATACGGAATCCTTTCGACATTACTGCAGTATTATTATCCAGGTTAGCAACTTAGCATTAGACTAATCACGTTATTCATGTCTCAGTACCATGCTCTAAGTTAATAAGTTCCAACCTACCAAGCATCCTAATCCACAACCTACCAAGCATTCTAATCCAGAGAGTTGGTTAATAGACATGCATGGTCGCATTCTAGTTGAGATTTAATCTTCCCCAGCTCAACAATTATTTAGGGAAACCATTTTTTTTTTCAATGTCTAATTATTTTATTACCAATTTGTTAATTCATATTAAAGCATATATTGTTCTCATCACCAACGGTGTGTGCTTTATTTGCTAGTTCTGGCAAAGGGAGGCCGCAATGTTAAGGCAACAACTACAGAGCTTACAAGAAAACCATCGGTATAGTCCGTTTATTTTAGCATGATTTATTGTTCAAGAAACTAGATTATTGGAAAGAATGCAACATAGAGCATGACTAGCATTTCTATATGACAACAGGCAAATAATGGGTGAAGAGTTGTCTGGGTTGAGTGTCAAAGATTTACAGAACCTGGAAAACCAATTGGAAATGAGTCTACATGGCGTCCGTATAAAAAAGGTACAAAACTCTATTCCCATGTAATTTCATCTTCATATTGTCTAAAAGTCTATTAATATAAGCAATGCACGAGACAGGTATTTATAGTAAGTTTTCACTTTTGTAGGACCAAATTTTGATGCAAGAAATACAGGAATTGAACAGAAAGGTCAACCCTTCAAACAAGGACTACTGGTTTTCAAATATATCCAAGAATCTAATTTTACTTGAGCTCTTAGTATTCAAGGAACTAAATATTGGGGTACTTGTGCAGGGAAATCTCATTCACCAAGAAAATGTCGAACTGTATAAGAAGGTAAACCTAATTCGTCAAGAAAACATGGACTTGTATAAGAAGGTATTGACTTTAATAATTAAGATACTTTAATCATGAAAACGAATTGAATAATAAAAGATCATCTCATATTCAAATACTAATACCAAGGATATGTTTGGCACAGAAAGATATAAAAATAACATACTTCATATGATACTTTATTTTCTGCTCTAATATATAGCGTCACTTAAATGTTATTATCTATTTTAATTTTAAGCTTTTGAACTTGTAAGAAAACATTATTCAATTTATAGCCATTTGAAAATCGTAACATCATAATTATTAAGTGAAAAACCAATAAACCAATAGCAACTAATACCAAGATCTTGCATATGCTATACTTAATGTTAATTTTAGCATCAAGCACACGATATGTCAAATTTTGACATTTAAGTATAGCATTCTGTTGGAAAATTTTGACATAATGTTCTTTTTAACCCAAACGCCAAATTTTAGCATTATCATTGCATTGGAGATTCTCTAAGTGACCTGAGTCAAACTGTAAGATATTTTTATAGCCACCCTCAAAGAAATTGTTTCATATGCTAGGTCTATGGGACAAGGGATGTGAACGGAGCAAATAGAACTGCCCTCCTCACAGATGGTCTGGGCATGGGAGAGAACTCACATGGACCCGTCCATCTCCAGCTTAGCCAGCCACAACAACAAAACTATGAAACATCAACAAGAGCTACAAAATTGGGGTATGATTCCTTCCACAAAACTATATCAATTTAAATCATGATAGCAACTTACTTTTACAGGCACATCCATCCCTGAACTTTTTACGATTGGCAAGTTACACTATAAACCTTTAATTTTAGATAAGTACCCCCTAAATCTAATAGTGCTAAAGAGTACACTAAAATCCATGACGCTTGTAAAAATTTAGATAGAAACTCTCTTGTACACAAAAGCTGAGCTCGTTTAAAGAACAAAGCTGAAAATTTGGGATGATAATTGGAGCATGAGGCCATTCTCTTCTAAATTTTAATATTATAATATTATTCATCAATTCTACGGCACACTACAACACTTCATTAAATTCAAGAGATAATGTATCACAATTAAAAGTTTAGGATAAACATGCCAATTCAATCAAAGTTCAGGCCAAAAGTGCCAAAAACTAAATTTTAATCCCAAACTTATTTCTTGAAATTACAGCAGACTACAACTTCACTAGCATCAGCATCAACTGGTGATGGGTATTACTTGATTTCTATCAACAGAAGGATTATAGTTACAAGATTACGCTTCTATTACCCTGATTTGATAAAAGCAACAGACCAATCAAGAAAAAGAGCTTGGCTTGAAACAAGCAATGAATTGACAGGTGTGTTATGATTAAAGACACCAGCCACTTATGTAAATGTAAAAGTTAGATATAACAAAATAATTGAAGTTTCACTTCAAGTGCCCTTGAATTCTTCAAGAGCTTAAACTCTTTAGTAGTTTTCTAAAATATGCATTATCCTTGAAGCAATCTAAGCAGATTTCATGTTTCCAAGAAACAAAATATTGATGTACTTGTATTCTTTTGGTAAATGTACTTTTATAATATACGTAGTCATTTGGTTAAAAAGGAAAAAACTACCAAAGCAGCACTTATTTTCAGAAAGATTATAAGAATACTAAATAACATGGTCAAACATGTAGTAACGCATCTCTAGCCATGCTCTTGGTTTAACTTTAAGCGATTCACTAGATGGGCTGGTGAAGTATGTACCTTCTTTGTTCTGATTTCATAACTTCGTTGAAAAGTACTGACCTCGTGACTATGTTGCAAATTTGAAACTATCCTTATCTGTTGAAAAAAGAGAAGGTCTGTTGAAAAAAGAGAAGGTCAGGGTGTTGTCAGTTTACCGGAGAAAAAGACATTGTAACTCGCAAGTCTCGCATTTACACATACAGATAAAGAAAGATTCAAGCTATACATGTACTTTTTATAAGGAAAACTTCCTTTCATCGGCAATATAATCCAACTATAAATAATTGAAACAGAAAAAGAGTAGTAGAAGGAGGAGAGAAAAAAAAGCTTTACAATCTATACGTAGGTCTACGTCTGACAAAATTCACAAATGAACCAACTCAAAGTTTTCAAATCACTAGCCTCACCAAAATAATTGCCAGAACGCACAAACTAAATTTCTGACTCAAAAAAAAAAAGAAAAAATGAAAGTTAATGAAATAAAGCAGCTTTATTATGATCGAAGGTAAGCACCCAAGGGATATTATCTTTATTTGATATTACAGATTCAGGGTAATCCTTGAATCTTGAAGCCCTGGGAACAAGAGAAAATGAATACCTTAGTCATATTTACATACTCCTAGCTTGCTAATACAGGAAAATACCAAAGCGACATGCTAGCAGTCGGTTTGTTAGTTCACATTCAAAAACATAGATTTAATTAGTTGCAATTACCCACATGCAGAAAAACATGTTCTGAGTACATTTTAAAATCAAAGTCCATTTCATATGTTATATGAAATATTAAGCTTTGAAACTTGTAAAAGGATAAAAATAAACATGTTATTTTAAAACAATTTGAAAATGATCGTGTTGTAAGATTAAATGAAAAAGTGTATATATCAAGTCATCAACCAATAGTAATTTAATGTCAAAATTTGTTACCTACTATACTTTATGTCAAATTTAAAACCAATTAAGTTAGAGCATCTTTAATGAAATTCTATAAATGATGTGCCAATTACAAATTGAGCATTTGAGTGTAAAAAATACTCTCCAATGTAATGCTATTTGTTGTGCTAAATTTCTCATATGTTATATTTTGTGGCAAATTTCCCACAAAGTATAGCATATGAGAAATTTGGTATTTAATTGTTATTAGTTGAAATGTTTACCTTTTCATGTAATCATTGCAAATTTTACATTTTCTAATTATTTTAAATAAAAATTTACTTTACAACTTTCAAAACTTAATGCTCATAAAAAAAAAGTATATTTAACATTTCAAATAGCACTATGCGTTGAAGCAAAAATAAAAACAACATATCATATCACACTTTTTAATGCTAAAGCATTTTACATTGAAAACAGTCTTAAGTTTAGTACTAAAATAGCACTCTATGAGAGTGATTTTTCTGCTCAAATACTATAGTTTGACATAGACACACTTTTACATTGAAAATGCTAAGTTCGTAATTCTTTTTCTTTAACGAGCAAGCATTAATTATTATTCAGCAAAGTGATATTACGAATCTTCTTGGCCAAAAAAGTGAGATTATGAACCTGGAGAATATACAAAACCTTCCTGGAGAATATACAAAAACCTTCCTGGCACAGAATTCGAAAAAGGATCCTTAGCGGCTCCTTTTTTTCTTTTTTCTTTTTTTTTGAACATGCGTTCTTTCTTAACATGGCATGCAGCCTCTAAATGCTTCTCTAACTCTTTCATTAACGAACAGTAAACGGATTATTACTTTAGAAACAAATACTTTATGGGAAAAAGGAACAAAGTAGCAAAGTCAATTAGTTTGGGCATAAAACATGTCCAGCAACCTTTTTGTCGATAACCTGAAGTGTGAAAATATGTCTAAGCTTATAGATGCAGGACTTGATATGCGTTTAAAATTCCATTAAACAAGGGTACCTCATATGTAACTCTGCTTTTGGCAGCAAACATTCGAAAGAAAGACGCAAAAACATGGCACGGAGAAAATTAGAACGAAAGCAATAACAAGAATCTAGTGGCCTTTTATCATCATAATTCCTAAAAACATATTGTACGAGAGACCAACAAACTTAAGTAAAACCAACCTAATTATACAGAAAATTTTATTTGTTTTAACAAAATAGCATTAATCATAAACCATTGTCAGATCAAAGCTCAATTATTCACAAAAGATAGGTCAAAAATCCCACTATTCTAATCTTTCAAAGTCCCTCTCCACAATTTGTACATTCCTTTGTTCTTCCAATGAAGGATTCTTCCTTTTAATGCCATTTTTATCAATCCTAACACACTTTAACTGTATTTACACACAACTCTCTTCATTATTACTGTATATAACACCTCCGGAAGTTAACTAAACCCCATGAAGTATCCTTCGCTTTTATGTCCAAGTACTATGTTCAAATCACTTGGAAGGCTTACAGGATAGATTACAAGTTAGCTGCTACGACAGAGCTTAAACTTTACAATAACCCTAACGAAACTTCTAGTTCGTGTGTACAAGGCAATATATGGAAACTATCTTATAAAAACATCAATGAATTCCATCATAACAAGATATCAAAAAATAATGGTGCTAACAAACTTATGCTTGGTGTTGAGAAAAATTCCAAAAGCATGATTTAGCAATATTAATTCTTCTAAACATAATCAATATGAAAGCTCTTCAAAATGGAAAACTGTAAACTGTTGGCTATCGGTTCAGAGCCAAAATTAAATTGTTTTAGACAACCGTGGAACAACAGCAATGGATCATTCCAAGTCTCAAACATACATGCCTTTGAGCTCCTTTAATCAGATTGGCAAAAATGGTAGTGCAGTTAGACATCATTTAACTGAATCATCTCTCCAGTATTACATGAACATTGTTTTGTAGGATCAAGTGAAACAAGACTACTGTAAAAAATATACCAATCTTGAGTAGATAACTTAACTTCGGACTATAAATCACTTAAAAAGAACACAAGAAGAAAACTGGAAGAAAACTTAAAAAAGATTGCTATAACAGAGAAAAAGTAGTTAAAAAAATGAAGCCTCATACAGCACATGTATGATGTAGCTAATTTGCCATCTGCACAAGCCCGTACCAAGTAAAGCATTTCATTAGAAACTTTTTATTATTAATACTATTGAAGGAGCCAGTGTTTATGTTCACTAACTATCATATAGGCAGCACAAAACTATTCAGATTCGTAGATAAAAAGTAAAATGGCAAATGCTGAAGATTTCTTAGAGCCGGATTAGGTTTTTAGGAGAAAGAATAATTCTTCTTATTCCAGAAAACAATTCTGTACAGCCACTATTTATATACAATTAGGGATAACCACAGCCAATTTTAAATCCCTTAATTTCAGCCCTATATTAGGTAACTCCTTATCTAGAGAAATCAGGAAACAAATCAAATCCCTATAAAATAGGAAACTACAGCTATACAATCCTATTCTAACGACTTTCCACACTCCCCCTCAAGCTGGAGAATGTATGTCAATCATTCCCAGCTTGGATAGTAGAGTATCGAAATGAGTTCTTGCAATGGCTTTGGTGAACACGTCTGCAGTTTGTTGTCGTGTGGGCGTGTAGACAACTTCCACAATTCCATCCTCTATCTTTTCTTTGATAAAGTGACGGTCTATTTCCACGTGCTTGGTGCGATCATGAAGAACTGGATTCTTCGAAATACTGATGGTTGCCTGATTGTCACACAACAGTTCCATAGGAGTCTTGATTGGGAGTTGTAGTTCTTCTAGGAGTCTTCTTAGCCACATTCCTTCGCAAATTCTGTGAGCTAGGGCCCTGAACTTAGCTTCAGCACTACTCCGAGCGACTACTGATTGTTTTTTGCTCTTCCAGCTGACAAGATTTCCCCATACAAACGAACAGTATCCAGAGGTTGATTGCCTATCAATCAAAGATCCCGCCCAATCTGCATCTGACATGATCTCTATGCCTCTGTTTGTTCCTTTCTTGAAAAATAAACCTTTGCCGGGAGACATCTTTAAGTACCTTAGAATCATGTATACTGCTTCTTGATGCTCTTCATTCGGACTATTCATGAATTGACTAATCGTGCTGACAGCGAAGCTGATGTCTGGTCTTGTGTGAGATAGGTAGATTAGTTTGCCCACTAACCTTTGATATCTTCCTTTATCTACCGGACTTGAATCTTCTTTAGTCCCTATTTTGTTGAAAGGATCCATAGGAGTGTCTGAAGGCTTGCAACCAAGCATGATTGTTTCTTCTAGTAAGTCCAGGGTATACCTCCTCTGTGAGACTGAAATTCCTTTGCTAGACCGTGCTACCTCCATTTCAAGAAAGTATCTTAGAGCTCCAAGGTCTTTGATTTCAAATTCCCGACTCAGGATTCCCTTTAGCCGAGCAATTTCTGCCTCATTGTTCCCAGTAACAATTATGTCATCAACATAGACAATAAGGATTGTAATCCTATCATCCGAAGTTCTATTGATGAATAACGTGTCCTCTGATTGTCCTTGCAAATATCCCTGCTCCTTAACTGCCATGGTAAACCTGTCAAACCAAGCTCTTAGCGATTGCTTGAGACCATATAGTGATTTTCGAAGTCTGCATACCAGTTTAACGCCTTGTGATTGCTCAAGCCCAGGTGGAATTTCCATATATACTTCCTCTTCCAAGTCACCATTGAGGAATGCATTTTTAACATCAAATTGATGCAAGTTCCAATCAAGGTTGACAGCTAAGGAAAGTAGTACTCGAATGGTATACATCTTTGCCACTGGAGCGAATGTTTCCTGATAATCGATGCCATAAGTCTGTGTGAAGCCTTTTGCCACAAGTCTTGCCTTGTACCTATCAATACTTCCATCTGCTTTATATTTAACAGTGAAAACCCACTTACAACCTACTGCTTGTTTGCCCTGAGGAAGGTGTGTAAGCTCCCAAGTACCATTCTTTTTTAAGGCTCTTAACTCCTCATTAACAGCTTGTTTCCATTCGGGATGTAGTAGCGCCTCTTGGATGTTCCTTGGTATCTGGATACTGTCTAGATTGGTGGTGAAGGCCCTGTAACTCGGAGACAGTTTCTCATAGGACACAAAGTATGAGATAGGATGTTGAGTGCACGATCTAATCCCTTTCCTTTGAGCAATTGGCTTA